CTCAGCTTAGAAGGCCGAGGGTGTCGGTCTTTTCCGCTCACATTCAGCTATCGGTGCATGAAGCTAATGTTTACTTACAATGCTAATGCTCTCTTACTCCTTGGCACTCAAGAGGTAGAGGAGCCAAATGGCTGGCTCACTGCTGCCAAATAGCTGGCAGGAAAGTTAACATTTTAAACCTTAATAAAAAATCGATACAGGGCTTTAGAATATGTGTATCGATGTTTTCTTACACCCCTAGTACTGGCCTCCAGCATCTAGACACTACGCTGACAGACACACAGCTCACATTGATGTGCCGTCCTGAATGAGCTGCACTACCTGAGCCACTTCTGTGGGTTGTAGAGTCCGTCTCATGCTACCACGAGTGTGAAAGCACCACCAACAYTCAAAAGTGACCAAAACATCAGCCAGCCATCGGTACTGAAAGGTGGTCTGTGGTCCCTACCTGCAGAACCACTCCTTTATGGAGTGTGTCTTGCTAATTGCCAATAATTTCCACCTGTTGTCTATGCCATTTGCACAGCAGCATGTGAAATAGATTTTCAGTCAGGGTTTAGTAAATTTATTCATTTTCATTTAARAATAAACAAATACTGTAAACAACAAATAATATCAGGGCTTAAAGTTCTCCGTCACCACGATGGATTTCTGTCACTTTGAACGTGGCCAGGATGGATTTCCGTCATCTGTAAGGTCTGTTGAGGTCTTGTTAAAGCCGCCCCAGTCCATCCCTAAACGCGCCACTATCAACAAATGAAACAAACCCCAGTGCACTTTTGTCCAATCAGAGCAGAGCAGAGGTGGGTCAGTGAAGCCAGCAGGTGAAGCAGTCTGCAGGAGCAGCGCAGTGGTCAGTCAGTGAGTGACACCTCTCCTCCCTCATTTCACTCCTTGGACTTTTGTCTATAAAACTTAACTTTATATTAAATATTTGTGCTCAGAGCACCGTTATCCAACAGGTATGTCCAACTTTGCGTGCGTGACCAAGCTGCTCGTGCAAAGGCTGCGCGTGACATTCAGTTTGTTTGTTTGTCACGCTTTTCCTCTCCTATTTTACATTTCACAAGTTATAAAGTGTTCTAATAATGTAAGCGCCAAATTTAAACCTCTCCATCACTGGCGAAGATGCACGCGTTCTGCGCGAGKACAAAGCGTGAACTGAACCGAGCCGAGCCTGGTGCGCCGCAGCGCGTACATGGTGCGAGTCAGATTCACTGCTTTGTTTGTCCCATATTAAAGCAAAGATGAATCTCTGTTTAACGTTTACCTCCTCATCCTCACCTGGAGAACAGCACCATGTTCTCCAGGTGAGCGTGTTTCAAATGTTTTTGTAGTTTTATCGTAAGTATACAACTTTCATTTCTCACTGCTTGTTTATATTTAGAACTTTACTGTGATAAATGTAATTTAATTAATGTTCAAATACATTTAAACAGTATTAAATGATAACATGAGCTTGAACAATTTAAATAACTGTTTAAAAAATAGTAATTTTAATAAATAAATCAGTATAACTAATTCAAAAAATGTATTTTCAAGTTATTTTGTTCTGTATAACAGACATATATTTTCTATAATTTTCAAATAAATAATTAGGATTTGTCTGGTCAATAAATAAATCTGTCCATCCATCATTAGTGATCTAACCAGTTCCAAGCATCCATGTATCGGTTTTTCATAATACAAGCTAACAAAACTGACAAAAGTTATTTTCTTTATGTCACCATTGTTTGGCACAGAGTTAGTTTATGTTCTGAAGGCTGCATGACGTCATGTCAGTTTGTTATGAGTGGACCTGTCACTAAATCAGGCAAAGAAATGCCTCCTAAATTCACTGTGTGTGGTTATCAGTATTTTACCTGTTTACTGGGTAAATTTTTTAATGTTCTTAGTTTTAAACATGCAGTTGAGGCTCATCATTGCTTGGCACAATGGCATGGTCTGTTACAAATAAAACTAAATCAAGAATAAACAATATAAACGTAAAATAATTCTCTAAAATCATTGTTTGTGATCAATTGTGTCACATTAATTTCATTATCATGGCTATAGCAGTGAGTTTAAGAACAAGATGATGCAACTAATTAAATGAAGAGTCTGTCTCTAATTTAATTACTTAATCAAGTGTTTTTAATGTAGGTAAAAGTATGTTTAGGAACCTGTAAAATACACCAGAATGCAGGAAACTGCATCTACTAAATTCAAAATTTTCTGGGGGTGGACCCCCAGACACCCCAGACCCCCCACTAGTGAGCCTTTCACACATTACAATGTTTCTGATGGTTTAATGTGAGAGAGAATAAACCAACAAAGAGCACCACCAGTGTACCTCTCTGTTGGATGAAAAGTATGGAAACCTTAACCTGTAACTGTGTGTGYTTGTGTGTTTGGTGGGAGAAAATATTTCAGTCAAAAGTTTTTTTTTTTTTTGCTTTAACCCATGAATACAAATCACAACTAAAATGAAAGGCAGCAGAAAGAAGAAAAAAAATCTTATTGTCTGCCCCTTTTTCCAAAAAAAAATAAACATTTAAACAACAATAGTCTTCAAATAACAAAAAACAAAAGCTTCAACTCCTTCTCAGACACAGCTCTTATGAACACACATTATACAAATTCATATTTCTTTAATAAACAAACTTTTATCATTCTCTTAAATAAATGTACTGAGCCAGCATTTTTATAATCACTTTYCAGATTATTCCACAATCTTATTCCTTGGACTTCAGTACATCGATCCTTCAAATTTGTTCAGATTTTGGGGTTTACAAACATCTCTAGCCTCTTTAGATTATAATTACTTAGTCTCTTTACAAAATTTAATTGGATAATAAATTTTTATGAGCCTTTTACTTAACCTGCAAAATATATGATAAAAGTTAATCCAAAAACTAATGAGAGTGTAACAATTATTGAATTATTGAATGTTTGCCTCTAAGTTAATGGCTGAAGTTTTTACATACATTTCTTAGGTTGTTCCTGGAGATCTTGAACGACTGTTCAGATGTGGATGAAATCAAGTTTCAAGAGGATGGAACTTGGTGCCCAATGAGACAGAAGAAAGACCCTGTAAAAGTCTCATCACAGTCAAGTGGAACTGTAGAGTGTAAGTACGTGTACCTTTTGTGGACGGAGGCATCAGTAACTTCAACTTTCACTGTAACTTTTTTGTTCATTATGTTGTAGGCCCTTATAATTTCTGCAACATGGAAAATATGGATGGAATCACAGAATTGACCAAACAAAATTGAATTCAGTGTCAAACTTGGAATCTCACGAAATGTGCTTATTTGCTTAGTTTCTGAGGTACTTTGGACGTTACCTGCCAACAGACACGTGGGGGAGCTCCCCCTCCCAACACAGAAAAAAAAGCTGCGACCCGCGCGGTGAACAGACTCTAAAACAGCAACATCCTCCAAAAACATGAAGCTTAGAGYAATGTTTAGGACAGAACAACATCCCTGCAGTTCTTTATTTATCTGGAGAAGAACTTCTCTGTAAGTTCTGACAGCACATGATGAGCTGGACGTGTAAGATTACATGTGCTGACCACTTCCTGTCTGAGTCGCATCACAAACAGAGTGACGCATGCTGCAAACACCTGAACACTCAGAATGAGATATTCCTTTAGAAAAAATTAAACAGCTTTGTCTGTTGTTTGATAAAGTACTGTAAAGAGCAGGGGGGTTAAATAAATAATAATAATAAATGAATAATTAGATCCTAAGTGTGCACAAATTGTTGCTGTTTGTAGAGTTTATAATATATTTAATGTTAAGTTCAATTCTAAAACTTTTATTTTACAAAAGGATAACTTTAATGTGAGATTCTATGATTTACACGTAAAAAATGTGATTTTTTTCTTGGTAAATAATTTTAAACACCTTTCAAAAAGATTTTATGTTCTACTAAAACACAGCTATTTGTTATCTTAGTGAAAGTGAAATAACAGTCGTTGATTTTTATTT